GGCAGCTGAATTTGAAATCTTTTTGTCATACACGGGCAGGGAACATTCCCCGAAAGTTTCAGCTCTTCAGCTTTTTCCGTTCCCGGGTTAGTAATTTTCGCACCAAAATTTTCACGTACCCGTACGTAAGCCCCGGGGCAGTCCTGAGCAACTGAATTTGAAATGTTTTTGTCATACACGGGTAAGGAACATTACCCTAAGGTTCCAGCTCTCTGGCTTTCCTCGTTCCCGAGTTATCAGCTTTCCCGCCAAAACCTTCACGTGCTCGCACGCGGGGCCCAAATGTGCGTGAGGGTTGATACCGCGGTCCTGAAGTGACACTTGGCTAGGGAACACACCAGCAAAATTTCGGCTTCAAAGCTTGCGTGGCTGGCGAGTTGAAATACCGGGACACACACACAAACACACACACACACACACACACACACACACACACACATACACACTGACAGGGTCATTGCATTATGCGTTTTTGCTGCCTGTTGCAGGGCTCTAGCGCTGCACGGCAAAAACGCATAAAAACCTATATTGGCAAGAGGCGCTGTGTGTTCGCACTTTTTGTCACCCACTTTCAGTTGGAAAACTACTGGTTCTAAGCTAGAAAGATGAAACTTCCAGAATACGCACCCACCCTTTGCGCGATTCATTTGTTTTAATATTATCATTCACGTAAGCTTGAGTTTCACACACGGATGCCTCAAAAAAATATACAAATTTTTTAGCGGGAAAGCGATTTCGGGAAACACAGAAAATAAAAAGTTGAAGTTTCACAGCCTAGCACGCTAATCAGACATACTAGGGAGCTGAAAATTTACAAGGGTATTTTTGCCTATATGAGACTGAAACATTTCAATTTGAGCTTTAAAATGCGCCTTCTCGAAATTGCTGACACCTAAATAATTCGGCAACTAGGATGAGGAAGCAGCATTTTTTCCGAAGATGCTTATTGTTCATGTGCCTGCAATCAAGCGTAAAATGAGCTTCTGCCTAGGAACGGCTCCTATGTACAGCCGCATAAAATGATTGAATTACAACACCGCAATTACACCCCAACCGTACACGGATCTCTTTACAGAAGGGAATCAAGCAAAAACGCATAATCACACCGGCAAGCCTGGTGCGCTGCAGCCTGGGCTGTATCAGCTACAGCAGACATGCCAGTACTGCGCAACCGTCGATGTCGACAGCACTGCGTACTGCGCAACCGATGAGATAAAGCTGCCCAAACAGTCGACTTCTAGGTAATCACTTCGCTAAACAAGAGATTAATGTTACCTGATCTTGATAATTTCCTAAAATCCACTTCTGTGGTGTTGACGCAACCAGGGACTGGCCTATGAACATCCCAAAAAGCGCGCTCCTGACTGTCAAGAATCTGTCGCTCCTGACGATCGCGTTTTTTGTCTACCCTGTAAAAGCTGCACATAAGTCAGAAAACCGAATACGCAAGCGTAAATCAACAAGATTCAGACGGGGAAGAATGTCGGAAACAGTTGGAGAGCAGTTGTGTCAATCACTTCGCCTAGCATCGACAGCTGTGTTATTCGAAAAAAAAAAACCATGAAAGTTCTGGTAAAATATCGAAGACTTGCAATACGATACAATCATACATTTTCTGCATCTATGGAGTGCAGAAACACGTACTGTGGAGAGTCTGTCTGTGTGTGTTTCTGTTTGTATTTGTATTTGTCCGTATATTTCAAATTCCAGATTCCCGCAAGTCATGAAGCTGAAATTTTGGTAACTAGGTTCACCACTACAGGTGGATCCCCGGGCATAAAATAAACGTTAAATCCTTTTGGCACTCACATACTGACACGTAAAAGATGCTTTCGACGGGAGACGATTTCAGGAACCAGTCATTCTAGAAAAATGATACGAGGATATTCCCTACTTCTATGTAACCCAGGGAATTTAAATTCAACTTTTACAAATGGATTCGTAGATGACGAAGCTGATAATTGTAACTCTGCAACCAAAACAGACAAAGAACTGAAAGCTGCGTGCTTGGTTCACAACGTTGTTAGAAATCAACCTTTATGTCATCTCAAATTTCGCATACGGAGGCATGAGTTTGCAACTCCACAAACAAAACAGCTGAAATTTCGTGACCTTGGCCTACAACAGTGTGCGGATAGAAATACGTAAGACCAACTTTCACGTACTTTCTACATTTCATGTTCAAATGCGTACAAGCTGATGTCGGAAAGTTTGCAATTCCGCAACATTAGAGCAGAAATTTTGTGAGAATGTTATGCACGCCTAAAATCAACTTTCAAGTCCACTCAAATCTCACACATCGACAAGCAAAAGTTGGTTGCGCTAAATAAGCATGTTCACATCAGTTTCCTAGCGCGCAACACATTTTACTGAACATTGTGTTTACAGTTTTGTTCCTACTGAATGGAAAGGGATTTGACAGATGCGTACTCGAACTCACTGTTCACATTCTGTTGAAAAGTACAACCGGTCATCTGACTGCTGCAAGTGCCGGTACATCTGAGTAGCCCCTGTTAAATTCAAAAAACTGGATAAGAATGAATAAGATCCTAGCTGCCGATGGTCACTTGGGCTGGAGCAAGAAGACTGCATGGGGTATCCAGTGAGGAATGAGGCAGATATTACTTAGCTCATTATTTCTCACCATGTGGCGGTGGTTGTTGCCTTTAGTTTGTCTTATCATAATCTGTTGTATTTGTGAGAACAATGTTCTAATAGAACAGTTCCACTGAGCCAACTAAATGTTCGCGATATTTGAACAATTTAACATCAGTGATCGCAGCGTTACCTGCTGCAGGCCTGCACAGCGCAAATGTATCCCAGGACTCGTCACTTCTCTCCGCATAAAAAAACAAGAATTTTTTGAAAGCAATGGAAAAATGAGCTCAAACTTACTTGTACTGAGCTTCTGCCTGCATAAATACAAATTCCCATTTTCGGCTGAACATTTTTTGCAATTTCGCTAAATTTTCCGCTTCAAAATCTTCCAGCTCCAAATGCGCCTTATTTTGCATTGTACGCTTGCACAGATAAACAGCTGTAAGGAAGTTCAGCTGCTCCATTAAAAAACGACATCTGATGCAAAATTTATAATCGTAAGTAAAACGCCACGGCGACAGATCGATCCCGCGCGATATCAGAGGTGTACACTCCGTGCGTTCCACTTGAACGCACTGAACGACTGGAAACCTCGGAAGCCTGTTAGGTTTGTACTGCCATTTTTCCCATTGTGTGATATCCTTCTGTCCGAGTACACTCGGTCTGTGAGTGCTAGATTATGCATTTTACCAAAATATGATGTCCGCGCTTGGGACAAACTTTTGTCCTGATCGCTAATTCAGCATCACGTATCTCTAGTTACTGCACTTTCCCATGCGCGTATGACGCGGCTCTGTGACAGCAGAAAGAAGACGTCAGTTTGTCTTCCATCCCTTCTCTTCCCTGCCGGCTTCTCAGATATGCCACTGCGCTGCTAAAATTATTCGTTATTTTCACTACTCACAAATCCTTTCCCGCAGTTAATTTGCTAGCGGACCAGGCTGATACTCTGCTCCTTCTGTTCTTTCAACAAGAAAATGGAAAATGCGGAATATGAATAACAGAAAACCTACCACAAGCACTTCCAGCTAGGAATGCCAAGGCTGCTCAAGCTATCAGTGTGGGTGCTCCCTGCTAGTGATGCTACTTGAATCTTAAAGATGTTTAAAAAAAAAAAACGAATAGCGATAGAAGACTTACCGTAATCAGTATTCTCGGGCTCCCAGCAATTCGATGGCCAGAAATAGGGCGTTTGAAAGCGATAGAAGGTGCCGTCATTTTTAACAGTCAATACATGATCATCGATTTGGAATAAATAACCATGAGATGCAATTAAATGAGCCAAATGAAGCGCATCGGCTGTAACAAACTAAGGCTTAATCCAATACAGCGCAAAGTTATCTTCCAACTGTCTGCTCAACGTGCTTCCATACTTTAATGGTCAAGTCGACTGCCCAGAACATCTATTCCAACCTTCTATAGAGACGAGGTACAAACATGGACAGCAAGCAATTCTATAATCCAGGTAGCGAAATACCAGACCTGCCCGTGCGATCATGCGTTTTTGTATAATTCCGTCTTATAAAGAGATCACCTGCATTATTGGCATGCGACTGCGATGTTGCAATTTGAACATCTAATAAGCCTGTATGCAGAGCCCATGCCTAGGCAAAAACTCATTTTACACTTGGTAGCCACACAGTAAATATCCTCGGAAAAATGCTGTTCCTTGCTCAGCCTGGTTAAATCTAGTTAACAAGATGTCCTGAATTAAACATTTGAGCGCACGCGAGACATAGGATTGCTTTAAAGCTGTGTTTGAATACTTAAGTTGTAAACTGATAGAACATTATGTTCAAGTTTCAACTCCCTAGCACGACTGGTTGGCGAAATTGCTTTCCGTTACAAATATTTTCGAAGTGTCTGAACATATGACACAGAGGAAAGCCAAGGCTCATTTTACGCCTACATGCCCACGTTTTAGGAAACAAATGTTTACGTAAAGTTAAAGTGCTCAAGTCAGCTTAGTTCAGGAATTGGTATTTTATCGACGATGTCTCAAGTCTCAACGTTGATTTGCCCATACAAACGATGTAAGTGTGCGTTAAAGCCGAATTTTAAATCCAAAGCTTCCATAAAGCCGCAGAACATCTCTATGAAATTTCAGCATCCTAAATCTCGCCTGATTACCGAGATCATTTTTCCGCCAAAAAACTCACGTTTTCTTTTAGGACGTACACGAATAATAATATTAAAACGGGACGGCCGCACATAGGGTGGGAACGTGCTCCAAAAGTTTCAGTTTACTAGTTTCTTTGGATGCCGAGCTAAAAGTGACTAACAAAATGCGAACACACGATCACCCACATATACACATGCATACAGACAACCTCTTTCAGCTTGCTTTATTGCATTAGCAAAAATATGCGTAAACAAATAAAAATGCAGCTTTTTACTCGGCTTAGTTCAGAATTAAGAGAATACCCACAGTGTCCCAACTTGGGTTTTCATCTGCGCGTACGAGAAGCCTAGATATGCTTTACAGCAAAAAAAAATTGAGAACGTAGGAAAAGAATATTCCCACGAAATTCTAGCTTTCTAGCTTTTTTGTCCCTGTCAAAAATGCGCTTGGCGTGTCCAAAAAACTGACATAAGCGTGTGTGAAAGCTGTTTGGACACAGAACATAATAAAACCTCAGATTCCTGTCTTGTCCGATTTCCAAAACTGTTTTCCTCGTAGAATGCAACTTCATCGCTTTTTCGACTGCTGAGTTAAAAATGTGAGTTAAAACTGAACTAGAGCACATACACTCACAAAACTCCACAGCATGCGTTTCTGCATTTCATCAGTGATGGTTCAGGCGACATATTAAAGGGTCTTAGATCAAGCGACGCACTTTGTAAAACTGAGTTCGAGAGCACAGAAATTAGTCAAAAAGGTGTAAAATCTAGGCATAAATGGGCAAAGTTCTGTAAAAAGCTTACACCTGAAAAAGGGATGAAGGAGAAAAAATTTACTGAAGTAGTATGAAAGTCAACCCTTTTTTAGGGGTGCAAAATTAAGCGCGGAATGGCAGTGTCAACGCAATCAGCCAGAAGTGGCAATCTACATTAAAAATCGAACAAATGAGTAGAGCTATACAACACTTAACGAGCAATTCTAAAAATATCATTTTTTTGAGTGAATGAGGCGCCGGTTTAGGTAGGCAGGATCATATAGGGGTGTAGCGAACGTTACAAATACGAACAGCTTGATTACGCTAAAAAGCATTTTGCGAAAACTGCGTTGGTCTTGGTAATCTCGGTAAATAAAACACACCGAGATCGGTCATACTCATATTTTTCATAATCCATGCAATAAGGTCTTGACCAGTAAACACTGACGGAATCTGAAAAAAAAAAACTTAAAATGAAGTTAAAAGCGACATCAAAGGCAAAACAGCAGTTTTCATTATGAAGCTTTAACGCTTTCATTTCTCCAACAGTTTTAGCAGAAATTCTACACGGCTTGCATTTGTTGCTAAAATCAGTCTGTATGCGTCAAAACCTCTAAGTGAGTCGAAAAAAGTGCGAAAATTTAACTGATCGAGGAATTTCGCTATGGCACAATTCAATAGAGAGACGGGGAATACGAGATGTGGAAACAAGATGAGCTTGAAAGAATACAAAATCTGACTATAATAAGAGGTGGAAAAACGGGGATGAAAATACACATCAACTTTAAAATGTGTGGCCTTGGTGCAAAACAGGCATAAGCAAAGATAAATGGGCCAGAAGAAATCCAACGTCCTACATCTTACGTTCTGTTTTAATAACTATACTCATCTGTCTGTGAAATAGGGAAGCATGCTCAGAAATTCTGCTGAAGCCACAGACCGACTAATGACAGTTATGAAAGCAGACGGAATGTTCCACGCAACAAGAAAAAATGTGAAAAAGTAAATTGGAGTGTAAAACTTAGTTGAAAATGAACAAAATTAGGTCAAGCGGGGTTAAACCAAACCAACGTGAAATTAAGTTCAGGTTCCCTGAAACTATCCGCGAAGATTAAACTGTCTGCCTACTGGGGTGCAATCCTTAATTGGTTTGTGACACATCCATATACTGGTTGAGAAAGATTCAGCTGCAACTTCATTATTTAAGATAACCTTTCACAAGTTAGATTGAATACGATGCCGCGCACCTTTGAAAGAAAGCTCTTGACAGTTTTAATTGGTACACCATTTTCCGGATCCAACATTGTTTGTACTAAATGTTCCATCTTCTGATAAATCATATGGTTCGGGTGAACCATCTTCTCCTCATTGCTTGCATTTACGCGAAGCCTTGGTAATGCCATAATTCGACGGAAGAAGTGTGGAAATTTTGTATGCAGTTTCAGGAAAATAAATGAAAAGATTCGAGATCAGTGCTGGCAATTCTTCGGTAGACGAAAGCTACAGATATACACAATATCGGGAAGTGTTTTAAAGCTTTGGTAAAAACAGTAGTTGCACCGGAAAATTTAAAAATACCATAGCCTGCAATAAAATTCACTAATATAGTGGTAAAGGACAACTGCATTCACTCTGGCGCAGAAAGTACGAAATATGAATGAAAAAACACAAAAAGCCGAAAGTCCCAGAAGTCATGCGCAAGAGTATAAAATTTAACCAAAAAAAGGCATATATGGTCAAAGAGTGTAACATTTTATCAGATGAGTACAAAAATCAACACGCAGAAATGAGTAACTCTGCAAAAGAAAGTTAGCAAGGAGTTCCACTACAGCCAAACGCGTTACTGTAAAAGGAGAACTTATTTTCTGGGTTCAGAATAATGCCCTATTTGGCTTGCAGTTTTATTATGCACTGTACTTCCTGAATAAGCAGCGAAACTAGGGTGCGTTGTTCCAGTTAGTCTTGTAATTGAAAACTCACAATTTCCCATACTTTACTAGGCTGGTCCTTCGATGCATTTGACGACTGCAGAACAGCTAAGTTCAATTTTTCGGAAAATCCCAGATGGCGTCTTGCTCTTTTCTGAAGTTATGATATTAGTCCCAATAATTGAACAGCTACCCATGCTTGAGGTGCTCATACAGGGAGTTGAAAGTTTGTTTCAGGTCATTGAATCCCGCAGAATTAAAACCCTAAAGAACAGAGTTCCTAGTCATTTTGAACCTCAGATATTTGAATTTGAACGCGACGAAGGCGCAACAGTGCTTCGGGCGTCTGTTCCACACTGTGCAATGAATTAAATTCATAAAATCTCATGTTGGAAACAGCAGCTGCAAAAACCCGTTCATTACTTCCAATAATATTAGTTGGATTTTGAACCTGAAGGAACTAACTTTGAAATAGGAAAGTATAAACGTTGATTTTAGGCCGACAGCCTTGTACAGAGCAAAATAGTAGTCCAGCCTGTCACGGGCAAAAATTTGCAAATAGCACAGCAGAAGGATGGGGTGCTGGGAAAGACAGGAATGAAACAAAGGCTGGAACGCACCAGGCGAGCCGGCGCGATCATACGTTTTTGCATCAAAACTAAAGTAAAAGTATTGCCCGAGCGTTCGTTTCCAAAAAAA